CCCCCCCCCCCCCCTCCCCCACCATACAATGTTGGTACAACAGCATATGATATTCACGAGTATTTTACAACATTTTCCGATGAGACATACTACAGGAAACCAACATTGTAAGGTGGGGGAAGGGGAGTGGTAGCGTTTAAGTATGATTGTATATGTCCTGCGATAATATCTTGAAGCTGCTTTTAATAGCTTTCTATTTATAGATATTACTATTCTGTTTGATTGACACTTTTACAGTGATTATTTATTCCATGATTGTCTGAAATAGCCTTGTCTCAAAAACGTAAAGAAAAATAAACGAATTTTAATCTTACAGTATTATACAATAGTGAAAAAAGGCAAGAAAAAAGCAGGCACGGCAAAAAAAAAAGGTAACGGTACATGATGTTTGATGTTGTTAAGATCTTTCGCGAAAACAAAACAAAATGAAAAGTAGGTTAGAACTTATTAATCTGGCCCTAAGGCAAAAGAATGCGGGAAAAACGGTTCTAGCTTAGTTTATAGCAAACAGGAGCAACAAAATCGTAAACAAAGCACTAGAGTTAGCAACAGAATTTGATGAAGTACCGCAACGACTGGCCCGAATGCAAAAAAAGCTGTGTCCAGCTTTTGAAGGAAGCTTATTCCAGTGAGTGCACAAGCGATTGCAATGGCAAATGGCTTGAATGCGGGTTAAATTTACTGCAGAGTAATGACATCCCATTATCAAGTTTCTGCAAGGTGATATTTCAAGGTCTTAATCTTGGTCACAGAAAATATCGAAATGTGTTCATATATGGAACGCAGGAAAAACATTTATTTTATCGCCTCTCTGTTCAATTTTCAAAACCTTCACCAATCCAGCCACAGGCACATTTGCATGGATGAGATGAAGATGCAGAAGTGGTGTTACCAAATGATTTTCGTTGGCATCCATCCATAATTGCCTGGGGTGACTTCTTGCAGCTACTACAGGGTGACACAGTGCATATTGCAGTTCCGAAAAAACACTTGCAGCAACAACATAGAATTCAACAAAGACACGCCTTTCTTTGCAACAGCTGTCACTCCTATTGTTCTGGTAAAAGGAGGCTCCCTGGATCAATCTAACATGCAGATGATGCAGGTCAGATGGGTGTTTTTCCATTTTTGGTAGCAAATACCTGGAGATGCTCAAGTTAATTTATCACCTTGCCCGAAATGTTTCACAAGGTTAATAATTGACTACAATGAAATTTTGTGAATAGTTCAAACAGTTTACTTACTAACATTTCCAACAGTGAAAATGTCATTGCCAAATTTAGTGGCCTTAAATATATAACTAAAATCAATTGGAAAGTTTAAAGTATCCATAACAGAAAATATAAAGCTATTGTCACAGATTTCATAAGACATTTACTATTTTATTAGGGAGTGAAAGAGCTGTCACGTAATTTTTGTTGTATGGAATCGGGCATATATTCAATTGTGTTGTTGAAAATGGTTCTCTGTCTCGGTACTCCACTAACATACCAGGATTTCAATTCTATTTCACAACCGTCCTCAGAGATACGAAAAACTAGTTTCATATTAATCTGACACTGCAATCGAGCAATGAAAAATTTGTTGGCTCGAGCAGGATTTGAACTTGCATCTTTGGGTATCTAGACTGCCGCTCTACCTATTGAGCTATCAAGTCAACAGGGATTGGTAGTGAGTCTTATCCAATTTAAGTGCACAAAATATTTTCGTGATGACTTAACGCTTGTCTTAGAGGACATGCAGCGTTTCAATTCTATTTCAGAACCATCCTCAGAGATACGAAAAACTAGTTTCATATTAATCTGACACTGCAATCGACCAACGAAAAATTTGTTGAAAAGACTTGATAGGTCAATAGGTAGAGCGACGGTCTAGATACCCAAAGATGCGAGTTCAAATCCCGCTCAAGCCAACAAATTTTTCGTTGCTCGATTGCAGTGTCAGGTTAATATGAAACTAGTTTTTCGTATCGCTGAGGATGGTTCTGAAATAGAATTGAAACACTGTGCATCCTCTAAGACAAGCGTTAAATCGTCACGAAAATATTTCGTGCACTTAAATTGGATAACACTTGCTACCAATCCCTGTTGACTCGATAGCTCAATAGGTAGAGCAGCAGTCTAGATACGCGAAGATGCAAGTTCAAATCCCGCTTGAGCCAATAAATTTTTCGTTTCTCAATTGCAGTGTCAGATTAATATGAAATACCAGAATTTTTCGTCTAATATAGTTTAACTTCTTCCATAGTTTAGGTATTGATGAATCTGTGTTAGTACACAATTTATTTTACTTGTTTATCATCTCTGAAGATATTTTACTTTTCATTTACAAATGGTGATCCATAAAAGTACAACAATATAAATGGAACACATTAAAATACTTAATTAATTGCACTACAGATGGAGAATCGATAAAAATTTGGATTCTAGGGGCAAATATTATTCCAGTTAGTTGCTACAAATATAGGTAAAATTCAATTTGCCTGAAAAGATACTGCAAGAAAAATCATTCATATTTTGTTTATTTTGTATCAAGTAGCTGAAATACATGGAGTACCGATATTGTTTACATTAAATTGTCAAAGGTCAGAGTTCATACGACAGACATTTAAATATATAGCTTATGCACATATTAATATTAATAGAGATAATGGTATTGATATGATTGTTTCTAATATTTGGTTTGAGAACCGTGTCTGTTTATTACCACATTAATTTGTTTTGGTAAGCCTTTGATGGTTTGGTCAATTATTGATGAATCAATATTATCACAGCAATGAAACACACAAGATTTAAACTGCTCAAACGGTTTTTTTTCAATCTTCAGTTTTTAAAGCTTGATCTGCCAATTTTTTTTTTTATGAGGTGAAAGGTATTTTTTATAGGATTTAGCTCTGGGGAACATGGAGGTATGTGGTGCAGCTCTGCTTCTATATCATTTAGAGCAGAAACAGACTGTCTACTTGTTTGATATGGGTCGTTATCCATTATAAAATATCTACCGCCATTGGCCTTTGGACCAGCTTTTGCAAAGGTTATATGTTGAATCGAGTTCGAATAAAGGAAGAGAAAAAACTCCTGACAATTTTTCATACGCGTCCTTCAAAATAATACCTTTCCCATGTGCAATTGCAACCATCAGATGCAAGCACCTTCCACCAGCGAGTTCTTTGCTGCCTCTGGCTGTCAACTGAAGTCCCTCCCCACGCTATTGCCACCCCCTCGACTTTGTTTCACACATATCTTTCATAGGGTTAAACTTGCAAATAAATGACAAACACCGTAAAGGTAAAATGATATCTGATTTTTGTAAAAATCTGGCATAGTTTTTTTTTCATGGCAGAGGCATATTGAAACCTGATTTTTCTGTCCTTATCTGACAATTAGAGTTTCTCCCTGGCTGAAGTATGAAAGAAGCGAGAAACAGATTTCTCACGCTGGGGAGCCTGGGGGGTGGGAGGCGCATGTCCTTTTGGACATGCACACATAGTTATAGCATTCTTGTCTTTTTGCTGCCAAGTGCAAGTTATATTTGTGCTTCTTCATCGAAATAATTTAAATCTCCTCATTCGAGACACGGCAGATACCTTGGTTTTGTAGCAGATGGTTAAATCCTTGTACAGAAGTAGTGGATGCATTTACGACCAGCTGGAAAGGGGAGAGCAACTGGATCTTCCCTCCTCCATTCTTAATACCTAAAGTTATATCCTACATGCACAACAACTGGAAAGATGGTACATTGATTGTGCCATCGGCACCATGGTGGCCTCTCCTCACAATGGATGGGCAACACCTTGTGCCTTGGGTAGTAGATTGGTTAGACATCCCATTGGTTGAAGATACATTTATTCCAGCCGTGGAACATGCATGTCTGTTTGGATAAGGTGTACCTACATACAGAGTCCTCGCACTAAAAGTTAGGTTTGGGCATTCACAAGGAGACTGTACAACCAATGTTGCATTATATTTAGCATCTCTGATAAAGAATGTGAAATCCATGGCTACAATATATGCTGCTGTGTATGGTATATCATGGGCTCATCAGAAAATGGCAATGGTTTCTCCAACTGAGCATCCATTAATCAAACAGATGATTAAAGCTTCTAAGCGAATTATTGGGACTTCACCGATAAACAAAAAGCAGCCACTGGGAGTGGAACATGTCAAGAAACTGGTTAATAAGTTTGGGGTGGGTGACCTTAGCAACTTACAGATTACATGTCTTGTAGCATTGGGATTCAGTGGTTTTTTACGGTGGGATGACTTGTCACAACTTAGAAAAGAGGATTTTTTTATTCCAGGAAGAATACATTTTTTAGTTTTCCTGCATAAGAGAAATAATGACCAACACAGAGAACGTTCGTGGACTCTGATTGCTAGAACATCTAATCTTACATGTCCAGTGCAATTAATGGAGATGTTCTTTCGTAGAGGTGGACACAGACCTAGTGATTTTGTGTTCCGAAAGATTTCACACACAACAACAAGAATGAAGCTAAGGAAGGAGCAGATGACCTATTCTCAAGCTAGAGAATTATTTTACAAACAACTGAAAGGCATTGGGTTGGACCCCTCACCGTATGGTCTACATCATCTCCGCTCAGGGGATGCCACGGAATCAGCTGCTTGGGGCATATTAGACCACCTCATCCAAAGACATGGGGGCTGGCGATCAGAGGTTTCCATGAACATGTATGTCAAAGTAACCAAAAATGCTCTTTTACAAGTATCTAAAAGTCTAGGACTTTGAACGTTTAATATTGTTTGAATTTAGTGAACAATTATAGTGAACTCACCATTATAGTGAACATTTTATAGCACATAGATACCTCTATACTTTGTCATTGCGGCAGTAGACATCTCGGCAATCCAGCATGAGAATTAGAGCTTCTTGCTGGCTGAAGTATGAAAGCGAGAAACAGATTTCTCACGCTGGGGAGCCTGGGGGGGAGGCGCATGTCCTTTTGGACATGCGCACATAGTTATAGCATTCTTGTCTTTTTGCCGCCAAGTGCAAGTTATTCCCTCCCTCCCACCCAATAATTGGAGAACACATGGGTATTGTCTACTTCATGATAGTTTTTCACAATATGTATTATAGTATTGTAGTTGTGGTTGACAGTTATAATAAAGGCACTGCTGCACTTGTGGTAATAGACATCTTGGCAACCCAGTGTCAGGTATTTGGTGTATGTTCTACGGTATAGGAGTGTAGGATCTAAACCAGCTTCCTTCACCACAGACATAACTGTTATGTGACATTTGTTCTTGCACATAATATGTAAAGTTCTCAACAGTACATGTTTATCTCTGGCACTGAGTTTTGGTTTTGGACCAGGCTTTCTTCTGTGTTTATGACTTTGAGCTACTGCAACATCGGCATTTGACAAGCCACACAAATTACTGCCCTTCTGGCAAATACGATGCACTGACGACTTCGACATATTTGACATTGCGGCAATCCTTCTAAGACTTAATTTTCCATTTTGCCTTAAAAAAATGCATATGCTTGTTGAAAAGCATTTAATCTCATTGCTATTCATAACTGTACTGTATGTATCATTGAAAGTTTTATTTTAATATTCATTGTTTGTGATGTTTCGATTATAATATAAATACCAATAATTATATCAATAATTTACATATTCTTTTAATTAAACTTAGGATAACCCACCAAAAACTAAGCCACTTACATTTTTTAAGGTTTCTGGTTACATTTAGAGTAATTTTTTCACAACTTATACAATAAAACTGAAAAAAATATTTGCGTCCTTTTCAGACAATCATCGAATAATTACATTGGGACAAGTTGGAAACATTAATGGAAAGAAAGTTGAATGTGTTCGGTTTACATCGCCTTGCGCCCCCCCCCCCCCCC